AAACAAACAAACAAACAAAGGGGAAGAAATATTGACAAAATTCTATCCCCGCACTCCAATTGGAGAATGGCATATTTGCCGATGGAGTGTGGAGGAGGGAGTAAAATATTACAGTCCTATGACTCCTATCCTTTCACACAACGCAACGTGGACGTGTCATGGACTCATGGATATGCTCTACTATTGCAATCGTAAACCACCAGCACTCCCCCCATACATCGGCCAGGAGCCCTTTGGCACAAGCTGCAACCTTCGGACGCTGTAAATGCGACAAAGGCCATTGATGAGATGAGATTTATCAGCGGCGGCTCAGCGCCGATGGTCGCGGCCACGTCAATGTGAGGGACCCGCGTTCGATGTATGGGGCCCAAGTACTTGGCACCATACATTGTGTGGTTCAACAATTCTATGTGGCAATGGCGTGTGTGTGTTATGTTAGTGGGGGGAGGGGGGGCGATGGTAGAGACGAGTTGAAAATAGTTGCAATATGGTAATACCTAAGATAAATTACATTTAAAAAAAAAAAAAAAAAAAAAGTTCACCTCGTCTTTTCTTTGTGGTTGTGTATGATACAGACCCTCAAATTATTGTTCCAATATGCAAACTAATATTGAATAAAAATTTAAAACAACAGCATTTTGAGGGGTGAGGGGGGTTTTGGGGGGGGGAACAGAGTCTCTAATATTCTATCAAATTGTAAATAACTGGCATCGTTTCGGTAGCATGCTAGCATCAAAAATATTTTGCAAATTGTTTTTTCTTTATTTTCAGCCTCCTGATGAGTCGGTGAAACTCCGACGAAACAGTTTGTCACAGCCCCTCGTTTGTTGTCCTCTTCTCTCTCTCTGCCTACKGTTTACCGGGCAGTTCTGTTTGTGACGATATATATATATAGGTCACCAGCCCGTACGTACGGAGGTCCCCGGGCAGACCTCTGTACGTACGGGCGTACGGGGTGCCATACAGGGTCCGAACCCGACGGCTTTCGGCCCCTGCCAAAACTTATTTCGGAGCCTAAAAATAATATGTTTTTTCAGAATTGTTTTTTGTGAATTCTCTATGACGTGAGGTACATGCCTGTAAAATTTCAAGTCATTTGGCTAAGCCAAATAAGAATTAAAAATCACCAAAGATTGGCGGTGTCAAAACATGCTCGCCCACGTATTTTTTCACTTTTTCCTTTTTGTTTTCACTTCAGTTCGGGGTCTAAACAATTTTATTATTTTTTGAAAAATTTTGAGTGGGTTTTGTATCATGTGAACTACGCATCTGTAAATTTTCAGGTCATTTAATTATGCCAAAAAAAAAAAGAAAAGTCGTCAAAGATGGCGGTGTCGAAAACATGCTCGCCCACTCACTAATTT